CTCTATAAGGAGTATGAAGCCTATTGATTTAAAAAAAAATCTAAAAAAAAATGGGAGCTTAAAGGGGTTGAAATATTTAAAAAACCATAACTCCAAAACGAAAAATGATATCAACCTGAAATGTTTAGCAAAAATCAAGCTGTATAAGGGAAAGAAGCACTTTAATTTTGAAAAATCTGATAAAAAAGGGGGGCTTTAAGAGGGGTTGAACTTAAAAAAAAAATCTGATGTGTCCAACACATGACTTTCCTATCTAGTTATTACAGGCTTTTTCCGGTTATTCTGTACAACCTATTGCAGCACCTCTATAAATGTTTAGAGGATAAACTAAATATATACATTTTCCACACACATCTACCTCGAAACATTTTTCTATAGATATTCATTGAAAATGAAAATACTGAAAAATTTAAATTTAGCACTTTTCCTACAATTGTTCCATTACAGTCCATTTTAGAAAAATCATGTATAAACAAAAATTATAGAGATAGATATCGCAAACAACTTTTATTTCAACAATTTTCATAAAAATCAGAATTTTGCACATTTTTTCAAATTTCTCGAATACAGACCATTTAAGGAAATTTTTACATAAAGCAAAACTTAAATTTAAAATTTAATGTTTTTTTTTAACCGTTTTTGAGTTTTCTTCAAATTTCGAAATTTACACATTTTCTCAAATATCTCGAATACGGTCCATTCTAGAGAAATTATGTATAGGATAAAAATTGTAGAGAATTATATTACAAACAACTTTTGTTCAAACAATTTTTATAAAAAAATATTTTTTTACATTTTGTCAAATTTCTCGAATACGGATCATTTTAGGAAAGTTTTGTATAGAACAAAAATTATAGGTAATAATATAATAAGTAACTTTTATTTGAAAAATTGTCTTCTCCAAACGTAAATAACAGATATATTCCATAAAATATAAAAATGACCACCCATAAAGTACCCCCCAGATGTTCCGACTTTGCCCAAAATCTAATCAGCTCATTGGACGCTGAAACAAAGCTTAAGTTTAAAATTTGGTGTTTTTCTGTGTATTGGTTCATGAGTTATGCGACACACAGACACACACACACAGACATCATTGCGAAAATAGTCAAAACGGATTCAGGGGACCTCAAAACGTAAAAATCCGTCGAAAACTCGAGGTCGAAAAAAATCATGATTCCTATACTTTCCTTATATCTGTATACAGATAGGAAAGTAAAAATTGTAAATCAAAAACGAAAAGCGATAACTTGAAATTTTTAGAAATAAATTTAGCTCTATAGGAGGACCAAGCTTATTGATTTTGAAAAGATCTGATTAAAAAAGAGGGGTTGAAATAAAAAAAAAATCAAAAACGAAAAGGGATATCAACATAAAATGTTTAGTAAAAATGTAACTAATCACTGCCAACTAAATCCTATTGATTTTTTTTTGTCAACGTTGGCAACGGAATAACTCCAGTTGCTACAGGATATTTAATGGTATTGATATTCTTCAAACTATGGTTTCAGGAATATCAATAAACATCCGATTGAGTTATTAAGGCATGAAGTAAAAGGCGATGTCGCGTGTAAAGAACCATTTTCAAATTAAAGGTACTATTTCGGTAGGCGCGACAGATGACCGCCGACGCGACATACGACCGCCGACGCGACCGAGAAGTGTCGCTTCACATCTAAAATACATACAATTATATGAAACACATTTCGCACGGCGCGACACGAGAAGTGTCGTCAAGACGACACTTCCTGCAGACACTTCTGAATCTGCCTTGGGGCAAAGGTTTGCTGCGTGTCGCACTCGGGGTCACTGTCCTCGAGCATCGGTTCATTTTGAGGGTTTTTAGGATGGAAATTTCTTTCGATCTAGGCAGCGTTGCCAGATTTTGGAACAGTATGGGTAAAAAAAAACCGTAGATGTGAACAGTAGATTTTAATACAGGGGGAAATAATTATAATTTGCAGTGTAGTAAATACAAAAACAAGTATATTAGAAACGAAAAATAAACTTTTTTCTACCCAAATTAGAAAGTAAACAAAGAATAAAAACAAATAAAAACATTTTTATTATATACTTAACGTACGGGAAAAAAACCAATGAAAAATAATAAGTACCTTCTTTTAGATCAGTCTGAATCAGATAATTCAAAATCGTAGGTTTGGCATATGCATATTCTTTTTATAATGCCCTAATAATTCTTTGTTTTATTTTAAATAAAAACAATGATTATCTTGATGTTTTTTTTTTATGGAGCCAACCTATAGTAGTGGGTGCTTATTATGCTGCTTTTATTGCAGTGAAAATGGTGTCGCCATCTGTTCTTAGTAAGCAAAATCAAAATGCGCTATGGTACCCAGTTTGAAAACTAGGTGGAATCAAATAAACCAAATAAATACTTGAATTTTATTCTCTCCGTAACCAACTTTATGGTATACTGGTGAAATGTGTAGCATTTGTTAATTCCATTAGAGACTGGAATTGAGAACCTATCTATTTCTTGCTGAGGAGTCCTAATAAGGACGAAACCGGTCCAAGAATGATGTTCTCCTTGGTAAGCAAAATCAAAGTAGAGAGTGTTGAAAATTAATTTCTATCTCTGCTGTTTTTCCTTCGGATGTAATTCAATGCCTGTTGTGGTATTAGCCAAAGGAGTAGTTGGTTTTTTTTAAGGGGAAACGGTCATTGTATTTTATGTGATATTCTGGCTTTGAGCTAAATTCATTTTATTTCATAACTCAAAAAGCTTCAATTCGAAATAATCAAGTTTAATTGATTGATTTACCAGGCTGAAACTTGAAAAGTGTACATGGTAGTAGCGCCGTTAAGTGAACACCACTATAACTACTGAAGTGTCGTTGTTTCTGTACAAAAAATGTACCTTTAATTATGTTAATGCAATAATATCAGAATTGATGATTTTTTAATTGTAACGGTATTCTCGCAAATGAGAGATATGGTCTCGTTCAGCCGAGTATGTTGACTTGTTGGGTCTTCCGAACGGCACTTATTGAGTTTAGGTTAAATCGTTACTCAACATCGGCACCAGGAAAATTATATAGTAACTTTTCTAAACGAAGTGTTATACCCAGTGTTGCTAACTTGAGGAATTTTGAATTTAAATATTTCTAGTGATTTTTTATTGATTGGCATGGGGATTTTTCACCCTCTAGTTTGATAAAGCCGATTATATGTAATTTTAACCTCGCATTTCTAAACTTTGATTTTGGTGTACACTTGTTTTTTATATTAAAGTTAAATGTTAAATGAAGAAAAATGTTTATTATGAGATATTTCAAATTTCTATAACGTCAGCCACTAATAGTGCCAACCTAATTAGAGGCAAATAAATTCAATGCTAAAAATTAAACCTATTACAAACCTAAAGTTTTGACATTAGAGTCCTTGTCTTTATACATACATATTCCTAACCTCATTTTAAAAACTTGAAATTATAGTTCAATTTTGTTGTTGTTTATAACAGTATATATTATGGAAGAAGCAACAGAAATTGCCATTTTAGGAGATTTAGATGATGATGATATTGAATATATATTAGAAAACTTCGAACTGATACGAATGTCGACAAGCGCACCCGAAAGCTAATAAAGTCGCCACTATTTGCTGCCGTTAAATATCCACAATTAAGAACAATTAATAAAGTTATGCTTAGATGACAAAATAAGAGTAATGCTAAAGCTACCATTTGGGAAGGCGAGACCGAGTCCCGCCTTCCCAAATAGTAGCTTCATAGTGGCTGACCTTAAGTGAACTTGCAATATCTCTCCATTGACTAGTATATTTTTACATGACCTTTGTAACCAAAAATTATTTCATGTATATCACCACTAGAGGTCGCCACATGTATGTATATTGTCTAATCGCTGAACTAACTTATATCGTTCAGGTACTTTAAATAGTTCACTTCCACGATATCAGAAACACATGTTTTCGGTTTAAATCAACTGTTGCGTCGGCTAAACGCGCCCAGTGATTCTGAAAATCACGTTTGGAGCTAATTCCAATTTTTTTTTTGTTTACTTTTAAAACGACTCTTATCTTCTTTACATAATAATGACGTCATCGTATATTATTTTTTTACTCAAAGTTTGCAAAAGGTTCTGTCAAAAAAATGATTATCTGTATTTAAATACGCTAGTTCAGTGTGATGTCATTTTGGTTCCACTGACATTTAACTAACCAAACTTTTAACAAAAACATCAATAAATTTGACATATACATTTTTACTGTTTTTATTTTATTTCAAAATATTGTTTACAGGTCATAAAAAATAGTTTAAAGGTATGTAATTGGTAACTAAACGATTGTATATTTCTACTTACTTTAGGAATATATTTATAAAAGTGAAAAAAAAAAAACGATATAATTTAGGTAAAAACGAACAAAACGCACTCAAAAAATCTACTGTCACTTTAACTGTCAGTGGAACCATAATTACATCATCACTGAACTAGCGCATTAAAATTTTAAATAAAATCGTATTCCTTGCCAAAAATAATAATCTGCCAAATTTATAAACATATTGTGAAAAGCAAAAGAAATTTGGCATCTTGTTCTTTTTAATTTTGTGTTTTATCAAAGAAAGTTGAATCAGATCATAATATTTCGAAGCCAAACACTATCATTACGCTATGGGCTATTAGTTACGAATCACCCTGTATTTATTTGATAATTGGGTTACTGTTGAACAAACCCTTAAAAAATTGTAACGCGCGACGGTGTGAAAATTTTACAAAAATTATATACTTCACGTCAATTGAAAAATTTGAAAATAACTTTTGTATTAAATGAAAATGCAGATTTATCCTATACCTATGTCTGGAAACATTTCCTCCTGGCCCGTATTTAGAGCGGCGACAGATGTCAGCATTTCATTACACATTCTTGAAATTTTTCCTGTCTCTACAATTAATATAACGTTCTTTTTATAATAACCATAAATTCTTCAATAAATTGAAATAATAATTATTATTAATTTGAAGGTGCCAGTACTGACAACTTACCCCCTGGCGTGCTCTACCGAGTGAAGGCCACTTATAAATACAATAGAGAAGATGTGGACGAACTGTCCTTTGAAGTTGGAGAAGTAATTTCTGTTATCGAGTATGATGATCCAGAAGAACAGGTAAGAAATGTTAAAATCCATCTACCATTCTCATGTAGCTGCTTCGAATATATTTGAAATTTATTATTAATAAATATTTTCTAGATTGATAATTATAATTAACAAATTATTTTTTTTTAGATTTTACTTGGGTGATTAATACATAAAATTTATTCATTGAGAAAATACTGCAATTAGTAAAATTGTGTACAATTCTAATCAAATTTGATTATATAATAAATTTCTAATGTCTATATAATGAATAATTTGTTTGCATATTTTACTTTTTAATGAATGAAAATATTAATTATTTTAAAGGTATTATTTAAAAACAAATATTTAAATTATTCAAAAATATGTGTGTGTAGCAGTATTTATTACAAAGCTTGTCTCAAAAAATATAATAATAAAAAAAGGTTTAGAAAGAAGAAAAATCCAAAAATCAACGCAATAAAGAATAGAAAAACAGTATTATATACAAATTGTTTAAATAAAAAAACATGGCATAAATGTTAATGATTAAAAAATGTTGTACGAAACTGCTTAAATTTCAATTTTGATTGTATTTTTGAACTTGGAAATACTCTTTATGTGCATAAAAAACGCGGTTTGCATAATGCATATTGAGATTGTAAAAATACGGATAACTTATCTACAAATATCTCGGAAAATTTTTCATCTTAGAGAAATGAAACAAGAATACATTATTTACGTAAAAATACAACCAAATTTGAAATTAAAGTAATGTACAAAACAGGAGGAGTTAAGGTATTCTACAGGGTGAATCCTAAGTTGATATTTTTTTAAGTGTGTATAGAAGTCATTAAAATAAACAAATTTTTTATATAACTTTTTCAAAAAAACTCAAACCAAAAATTAATTTATTCCAAAATGTATCCAATACTGTCCTTTATAACTTTTATCGAAAAATGTTGACTACATCCACGCCGTTGAACGCGAAAGGGATACAATTGGTTTTCCGCCAGTTGTCCATACTTTTCTTTGACTTATCCCACCTGATCTGCAAATCATTCGCGCACTTGTTGGATCTGCCTCGATAACATTATTTAAAATGTGTTCTTATAAACGCACTTCATTTATCTTACTGAACAGATAAACACACACTACGGACCTACTAAATTCCGACGACTAAATTACAAAAACTGGTACACCTAAATTGTGATCCATATTCATAAAAAAAAACGAAATGCAAACAAGTATTACAAATTAAAAATTTAAAAAAACCGACTTCAAAAACGTGCAGATGCCATCACCACTTCTTAACCAAATTTATATGGGACCACCCCTGAGGTACCCCCTTACTAACAAAAAAAGAATCGTATAAATCGGACAAGGTGGTAAAGCATTATCGCTAAACATACATAAAAAATGAAGAATTTGAGGATTTTCTCATGGATCCAATTATTAGATTTTGACCAAATTTATATGGGACCACCCCTAAAGTAGTCCCTTTCTAACAAAAAAAGAATTATTGAAATCGGACACCGTGTTAAAAAATTATCGCTGAACATACATAAAAAATGAAGAGTTTGAGGATTTTCTGATGGATCCAATTATTAGATTTTGACTAAATTTATATAGGACCACCCCTGAAATACCCCCTTTCTAACAAAAAGAGAATCATTAAAATCGGACACCGTGTTAAAGAATAATCGCTGAACATACATAAAAAAAAAATATCGCGACGAATTGATAACCTCTCCTCCTTTTTTGAAGTCGGCTAAAAACGTCTTAAACCTAAATGGTAACCCTGTAGGCCTGGTGATTTGACAGGGTCAATGACATAGATATAGAATGATCATCCATGTTTTTCAAAATGAACATAAGCTTATGCGTTGAAGTAAAAAACTAATTCTGATTAATGACCACTTGTGATTCAATAAGGCCACCCGCTTTGAGCAATATGTATCATTGATCCTCTCAATGACAACAGGCCCACAGGATTGCCATATCTAAACTGTCAGTTCCCACTTGCCAGCATTTTAACAGGTCTTTGGAATGCCTAATTGAATCCCGACCTTTCGCATGACAAGTCTCACTACATACAAGCATTATAATGTATTTATACAGTGTGTTTACTTAAGTTGGAACCATATGGAAAACATTTTTATTATTAATTTTAGGAAAAAAAGTTATTCTTGATAAAAAGTCCTGCATGACCCAAAACTTAAAATACAGTCATCAGATATCAAATTTTTCAAGCCGTATACGAGGTTTGTCAAAAAATATGAATTTTGCTCAAGAGTAAAGTACGTTTATTTTTTACAAAATCGAAAATTTTCATTAAGAAATTTGCTAAATTCTTCACAAACATCAACAAAAGGAAAGCGTATCATGTTTATAGTAGCTAACGTAATTTATAACGTTTTCAGATATTTACAATCAATGTGTAGAGTGTAGAGTTTATAAAAAATAAGAAAATCTGTTTTTTCAGATAGATCAGTGTAATTGCATATTTGAATGTAATATTCAATTCTAATCAACTTTTCTTAATGAAAATTTTCGATTTTGTCAAAAATAAACGTACTTTACTCTTGAGCAAAATTCATATTTTTTTACAAACCTCGTATACGGCTTGAAAAATTTGATATGTGATGACTGTATTTTAGGTTTTGGGTCATGCAGGACTTTTTATCAAGAATAACTTTTTTTCCTAAGATCAATAATAAAAATGTTTTCCATATGGTTCCAACTTAAGTAGACACACATTCTAAAGATGCTATAGGAGCCTAACTGCATATAATTTTACATTGAACATGTTTTATGAACTTAAGCTAAGTAGAATAGTTAATATAAATATCCGGAACCAAAGAATCAAAAAAGCTATTTTATTACTTATTATTTATAGGGATAATTCTATTAAATATTTCACAAGAGTACGTTTAAATTTTTTATATGGAGAACTAAAATCTAAATCACATATAACAACAATTTTATTTGCCCTTTTTGCATCATTCAAATAGGAGATCTTAAAATTATAGTTTTCGATCTATAATCTAAAAATCAGGGTATGTCTGGTAATAGTAATGAAATTCAGCAATTTTTATATAATGCTATCATTAATATTGAAAAATATATCATAAAAGAAAAAGAGAAAAGCTCAAAAACCGTGTCACAGAAACTCGAGCGACCATTTTCCTCTTGAAAACAACTACTCTCTTGGCTAATACCGCAACAGGCTTTGCATTATATTATATCAAAAGGTGAATAGCAGAGATAGAAAATACACTCCAACTTCATTAATATTGAAGTTAACTATTCTATATAAAAACATGATTTGTGCATTTCAAATTTCTTCCGAAGGTAATTTGACCTGACTGTTCTACAATTATGGTATTCCTTAAAATAGATAAATCGCAGGAACTTATTTTGAATCATATCAAGACATACACGTGACTATTCATGCCAAATAACATAGGCATATTCCAATTTTGGATGACCTAAATAAAGTATAAATATTTTGTTTTTATATTTGAACGATATATGCTGTAACGTTGTAAGCGCCAAATACTGCTTTTTTGGAAAATAAAAATAGTCTTTTTATTATTAATTGCTTAGACATGTAAACTGTTTATAAACATAATACTTTGGGTTGCACTATGTTACTTTAGGAATGATTGCCTTAAATGTATAAAGGACGGGGTTTTATGAACTTAGTTGCTATATTTTAATAAAACAACGTTGTATATCGACGTCGTTAGAACGTTGTTTTATGTTTAAAAATAAAGCACAAGTGACAGTAAAAAACGTGTTTATTAAATTTAAAATATCATTGGACTGAGTAGGTAACTAAAAGTTGTAATTATTATATTCTTAAGATTTTCATAAAAATTTACATATTTTAATGGAATATATTCACACATATCTAATAAGACAGGCACATACAACGTTGTTACACCGAAGTATTTTAGTCAAATAATTTTATTACTACTATAAAATATTAATAGAGGCCCCGTATACTCCTACCACTTCGCCAATTGATTATTTCGACCACATACAATGTTGTTCCTCGAAAAACTCGAATGTGCGCTGTTACAATGTTGTTCCAGCATACATTCTTTTGTAAATTTCTTATGACGAATCCTATCATTCTGTTTGTCCCTTTACTTACCTCTCGAACGTGCCTTTGAGAAGACATTGCTGAATTGAAGTTTCAATTTTTCTATCCATAATTGATCATCAAATTTTATACTCAAAAGTTAACACCATTGTTTCTTATTGTAAAACCTATACTAGTACATTTGTTTATAATATAGCATTTTATGAAAACTCCACTTAATTACATTTTGTATATTTTTTTGTAATGAACCACAATCTCTTACCGTTTTTATTTCTTTAAAGTCGTCTGCAAAAAGAAGCACTTTAGGCTAGTTGTAATATCTTTAATAAATAAAATAGGACCTAAATTTGAGTCTTGAGGGACTCTCGACTTTATATCAAACCAGTTTGACACATTCTCATTTTCCAAGTAACCAAGACAATTTATACCAAACGTACTTAATTTATTCCTTATCCACCTTATCAGATGCTATTTAGAAATCAGTAAAAATGACTTCCAGTTGGTTTCCGTTCTCAAAAGATTCGGTTTGTAAATTAAAGTAAGTTACTATAAATTTATGGATTTCTTTTGAACAAAGCCTGACTTACTGTAATAGATTTTCTATCATGAGTATAACTTTTGGCGTATAACATTTGCTCAAATATCTTTGCTGGTATGCAAATAATGCATATCCCTCTATATAGGTATTATTGCCGGATTTATAAATATGAACACATGCTGTTATTTTCCAGGTACGTGGAAAAGTTTCTTCCTTAAAGACAGGTTGTAAATAAACACAAGAGGGACCTCCAATTATTCTGCACATGTTTTAAGTATATATGTTAAAGTTAGTCTGTCCCTGTCAAACTAAATAAGCCTAATTTGTTTAAAATGACAATAAGAACACATCTACGTCATCAGTTGGCGAAGTAATTCATTGGCTATCGCTGCGTATTGGTAATTTACTGGCATGTTAATAGTATAAGAATATAGAAAATATTTTTTATGCCCAAAAATGTATTTATATTTTATTTATTGGCAGTTATAGATACCCATGAGAGATATCGCGCATAGTATCATAGCGGCACTGGCGTCATGCGTAGTAGAGTTAGTAGAATTGGCGCGAAGTAAATATCATATGACAGATGCACGTTGCAGTAGTTTGTAAGTCGTTTATAGTAATTTATAACATTTTAGGCTGATATTTGTATTATATTATGTTGTAAACTTTGTTCTTTGTAAGTAATATTAGTGAAACACATTTAAAAAATGAGGTACGCAGTTTACGGATCTAACAGTAACAATAAAAACAAAGGACTTAAAGAGGTTAGTCAGAAGTGGCCCAAGGGCGACTCCCGTGAGGGTCCCAGGGGACAACGGTCCTCCTTTATTAAAATTGTTAAATTCCATGAACCTTTTTTTAAACAAATATGCTAAAAAGGGAATTGTTATAGGCAATGCTACCCTCCCCGAAAATTCGACCTGGAGCCACCCTTTCAGTGGCCTGTGGTCGTTTAGATAAATTTAAATAAGAATATTGTCATGTGTGTAACAAGCAATTACAAGAGGGACCTTAAAACAGAACTTCACGTTGCTTCATTTGCAACTCGGGACTTCTTAACTAGAGACTCTTTTCTTTATCTGAAAATTTCTCAATATACAGCAAGGGTGAAATTGAATATGTCGCAAAAAAAGAAAATTGTACTTTATTGAAGAATTTAAAACCTGTCAGTGACTATGTCCAGGAATAATACAGTGACATTTTATTTTACTTTTGTATATACACCCACCATGTAACAGTTATTTGTATTTATTACATTATTTTTATTTTCTGCGTTATATATGTATAAAAAACTATTTTTGGTATCGTACTTATACATAAATCCCATCTTTTCCATAAAATAAGTAGTTAAGTTTATTATTCAATTGGGAAATATAATGCAGGTAAATGAGTCAACTGTTGCGAGAATCCTAATTAGTTAAATGTTTCCGGCGTCCCCAGAAGCGAAATTTTTACCCAGGATCTCAAGTTGACAAGTTCCGAGTTGTGAATATACCTTTATCATTATCCTTCATATAAAAACTATTTCTTAGAAATCGAATGTTCTCTAAAATTAAAAACCTGCATTCGAATTTGTATAACAAAAATAAATCAATAAAAAGAAAAAGAAAAAAAACTGTTACTTGTAATAAATATTTCTTTTATGTATGTATTCGCATTTATTTTTCTTCATAGCTCTTTCCCATATTAATATTCTTAGATATTTCAACTAATTCATAATATACTGTCCTTTAGTATTCATGAAATTTCTGTAAATAACATATATTTTCCTCGCACTTTGTCAGTATGTATTTTAAAATTCGCGCCTATAAAACTCTACTACAGTTGATATCATACCTTTTATTTTTTATACCATGATAGATATCATATATTTGAAATTAGAATTAATGGTTATGATGTAGCGGTGTTCTTCTTATTGTAATCTGATTCAATCATATTAAATTACACTAAGTTCCTACTTTAAATAGTAATTTACGGTACAAGACAAGACCTGAAAGTAGTATTTGCAGGCCATGACAAGCAGATTCCAGGGCGAGCCGTAGGTGAGACCTGGAAGCTTGGAGAGACCAGCTTAACACTAATTTTCGGTCGCGTGACGTACAATATTTTTTTGAAGACCGACACTTCGATTTAAACTCAATTATTTATTTAATTTAAAAAAGTGATCAACAAATACTAAAACTAGATCATGGATACAACTGCATAAACTAATCAAATACAATATTTTTGAATATTTATGTTAAATGTACAATTTTGCTGCTGCCAACATTTCTTCTAGAAAATAAGTTTGACATAAACAACAAAAAATTAAAAACGGGGTCCGGCTGTAAAAGCTTTTACCGGTCCCTAACATCTAGTCTCAGGTCTTGATTAGCAAAACGTTATTTACTGGACGAAACATTGCTCAGAAAGTGTATATTTTCTGGCCTGTCTTAAAAAAAATATATATTTCAAGAAGCGTCCGTTATATTCTTAGGGGGCCATAGGAAAAACAATTTATAAGAATTTGTCATGTTATTTTTATGTGTTCTGTCTGAATCAGGTATATTGGGGCAATGAAAATATGCTAGGAAGATGAATATAAAAAAATATGTCAAAATTAAATTTTATTAATAGATATTAATTGGTCATTTTTATTTTCAGGAAGAAGGCTGGCTGATGGGCATAAAAGACAACGGCGAGAAAGGCATGTTCCCCGCGAATTTCACGAGACCACTGTAAAAAAAATATATATAAAAGAAAAAACACATTTCGAGGGTAATTTTTTCAAATTATACTTCTAGCGATATTTTCAAAAATATATATATAAGCGGCGCGTAATTTTTGATGCGCCCTGTATAATGAACAAGTGCCTTACTTCATGATATATTTTTATAGGTTTTTTTATTGTTTGAAGATTATTTTAACATCGAATAATACTGTTTGTTATTTTTTTTTCTCTCAGTTCATTGAGTCGACGCGAAACCGGGCAATCGAACGTGTTTGTGACTGCATTGACAGATCGTGTCAAATGAAATTTATAATTTAATGTTGGCGCGTTGAATGATTGGGATACTGATAATCCACCTCGCAAATTACAGTGGTGGAATATTTGGGTGATACTTTGGCCTAAACATTCCACCACAGAAACGTTTTTGTTAATTAATTTAGCTCATAAATTTTTTTAGAAGGTATTATATTTAATTTTTATAAACATTTAAATTATATTATTTACGGTTGTCTCATAGAGTTACTCAGACTGATCGTTTATTATTTGAGTATTAAAAAAATTTATTTGACAAAAACTGTCAGTAATGTCAACCTGTAAAAACGTTCAAGCACTCGTTTGCCGATTCGACGTGGCCAATACACATTGTTATCTCTTTATAGAATCTATCAACTTGTTTTTTTTTGTATTTGAATACTCAGCCGAAAATTTTCCTCTGCATTTTTTTCTTATTATAATTTTTCGTTTAAGCATAACGTTGTTAACTTATAGGTTAGATTGTATCCACTTATATACGTATTTTTTATTTCGAATAGAAAGATACAAAACAGTGAAGGGTAAAATTTGGCAACTAAGGGAAACGAAATTTTTACGAAATTTTTATTTTTTTTTTTAATCGGCCAATTTTAAAAATATTTCCTATTAATGATTAAAAAGTAGATAATATTAAAAAAATTCTATATTTCACCGTTATTTAATGAATAATTTAATTAAAGCTGATATATACCCCCGCCCCCCCCAAAAAAATTGTCACATCTATTTTGATTCGCTTTGAAATTTGCTCAAATAAATCGTTTTTGAATTCGTCGAGGTAAGAAGTGAGTCTAGTCAAAGATATAAATCAAAGTTTCCTTGGAAATCGTTTATTTTTGTGCCTTATGCTCTTCTTCGTACCATAATAACTTTTTATGTAATACGCTTTAACGGCCTTACACTCTTCCCGTTCTACGGCTCTGCGTTTTTTGATATAAATTATTTTGTACAAAATCCTCCAAATTGCTGGTTAAAGATTATTTAGTACCGTAAAGTACCGATAATTCGAGATAGGAGCTGTGGTTGCCTCGGATTATATGGAAGACTATTTAAGAATTAAGTTAAAAAGAAACATGAATTTATATTAATAACAAATTGTCTTGGCTTCTGTTTTGTAAATAAATCCTCGAATTATCGTGGACTCTTCGGGTATTATCAAAAATTGTATTTTTTCTAACATGTTTGGAAAGTTTGAATAAATGTATTTGCTGTCTGGTACAAAATATGGAATATGTTACACACAATAATTTAGTTTAAAATGAAATATAAAAAACCTGATATTTTTAAATTTGATGCTTCATTAGACCCGTTATGCATGTTCAGAAGGCAGGAGAGACTTCCTCTTAGGCCATCAGCTCTCCTACTCTTTTAAAGTAGTTTATAACGTCGGCAATAGGTATCTATTTTATATTTGATAGGTTGCACATTCCTTAGCCAGAATTGCTAAGTGATCTGTGAAAACCAAGAAAAAGAAGTAATGTTCCTTTACATCCTCATATGCTTTTCACTTAGCATATTTTGCTCCTTCAACACATCCATATCTTAATCACCTCATATATGACAACTTCACCATCAGCGGTTTAGTCTCCAGAGGCTCCTTTAGTATCTCTCCATTGAGTGTTTGATGCCATTTAACGTAAGAGTCCAGTTACAGGCCTAGGCGTGACCATCGTAATATAGAATCCTGAACTATTTGGCAGATACGACCGTAGATTATCTATGATTTGTTTGTCCCTGTGTTCATTTTATAAATTTGCAGTTGTTTAATTTTTGAGATTTTGGCGTTGGGTTGTTTACTAATCCAATTTATGTTATTAACTTAATTATGAATTTTGAGTTGGGTCAGTTTTGAAGGAAGTGTACTATTTGTCTATTTTACATTCGCAGAAAATGTAGAGCACTTTGAAAGGAAAGGAAGTATGTGGTTCATGTTAATGGAGGTTTCAAATTAAAAAAAAAAAATATCAGAAATATTGGGCAGTATCTTGTATCAAGATTGGCCTAAAAAAAATTGTTCCATATTTTTATACCTACAATTGCCTTCAAAAGTCTGGCACCATATGGAAAACTTTATTATTTTATAAAAAAATTGGTGGTCTATAACCCAAAATTCAACAACCAAAGATGAAAATTTAACGGGATGTATCCGAAAAACATTAATTTGTATTAAGAATTTTTTTATTACAAACTGGTGCATAAATTTGTCAAATGTATTTTTTTTATGTAACAGATAAAATAACGTAAACTTTACACCAAGAATGCCAATAATTTAATAGAAGTTTTGAAGTAATTTCAGAAACTTGTCGAAAATCATGACTAAAGTAATAATTATTTCTATTATTTGGTCTATTAATCCAAATTTAAATTATTTAGATCAGAAAGAGATGGAAAAATTACTAAACATGTTTTTTAAGACAGTTGCTTTTACTACAAATTTAAATGTAGTGTTTTTTAATTCTAAAACAACTTTTCGATAATGTTAAAATTAAGAGTTTATTTGGACTGCATTATGCAATAACGAATTAAGAGACAAAATTCAAAATTCGAGTAAATAGTGCCATCCTTTAATAATCATTGAAATTTATATTACATAACTTATTCTTAGTTAAAATTCCCTATTTTACTTAACAAAACACGTAAATGTCGCTCAAATCACTTCACAGTTGCATAACGGGGTAATTTTTAAGTTAAATGTATGTTTTGAATCACACTTTGAATATGACTCAAACATTTTAATTTCTGATGAGTACAGTTTCAGTTTTAAACCAAGAACCAACCTTAATCTGGTATCATTTTTTTTTTTTTTTTTGAAAAATATGAAAAAAAAGTTTTCCATATTGTTTAGACTTATGGCGGACAGTGTGTAATTAAAAAAAAGTTAATTTACCAATTTTTGTGTATAGACTTTTTAACCGCAACATCTAAGGCAACGTTTTTGTCTATAGATAGCATACTGAAATTTGCACGGAAATTTTGTACAATTTAATAAATTTTCTTAAAAATTAAATTTCGCGCTATTTTTGTAGCTCGAAATTTGTCACTTTTTCTAGAATTTTATTAATATAATAACCCGACTGGGGAGTGTAAATTCTGTGAAGTATTTTTTCTCGTAGTTATCTGAATATACTCTAGCTAAGGATTGTTATCATATTATTATTATAATCAAGTATTGTGCGATAGATTTTAACTTATTTTTATTCTTTTTAATTATGTTGTAATATTTTATTAACTTATTATGTGGAGTGTATGTTTGATTTACTTGAAAAATAAAGAAAAAGTATCTAAACTCGGTTGTTTTAATTTGGTTGTAAAAAAAAGACAGGTATTTGTTATAAACCTTTTATTCAATTTATTACTTTTGAAACTATAATCTAATAGCAACATTTTTTTGGCAACAACATTTTAATCATTTCATTAAGAAAATTTCAATCTTAATAAAACTATGTATTAAAATCTTTTTTAGTTTTTTTGTTGGAAAAGTGTATGTGAAAGGAAAAAATCAAGATATGTCTCTATCCTCTTGGAACTTCGTCTTCAATGTAGCTAAAACGTACACTTCGTTTACCGTGGTGGAATTACACTAACTTATTTATTTTTACTAATTTACCGCGAAGTTAGCGGGTTAAATCCACCATGAAAATGATCTATATTAAATATTTCGAAATTATACACAGGTGAAATCAATGTTTTATTCTCTTATTTTTACCAATGATTTACCGCAGTGGAATAATTGGGACATCACGTCAATTATTATCAAAGTCAGAGATAAGGGACATAAAGATTGGGAAACGCAACGACCGCAGCAACGACGGCGTCATCTAGCGTCTCAGATGTTAACTACAGGTCTACGTCGTTTATAGAGAGACCAGTGTTGCCAAATATTTTTTTTGAGAGATCGTACAAGTAGAGTAGAAAAATGGTATTTCGACAAAAAAATTGTACAATAGATACATGCATAGCATAATATAACTTAAATGGAATAAAAAAAAGCTTTGACATGATAATTTATTTATCTATTTATAAAAATGTTTACAACGAAAAAAAAACTAAAGAAAATACATGAAATTTTAAATTAACACATTTAAAGTAATCAATGACTGTTACTTGAAAGTGATTGAAATTTTGCATGCAAGCTTTTCTTATGCCGTGATAGTCGGTGTACAAAATCACCATGGTCAAAATCACGATAAGTCCGAATGAAAATGACTTCCTTCAGAAATTACGAACGGCCTATGGATCTTTGCAAGTAGTTTCTGATTTTAATTGTTTTATATTCTGAAGATGTTGCAGATATTTAAATAAACTTACTAAAAAAGTGAAGATCGCATTTTTACGTACGATCTCACTGATGCAATCGTACATCGTACAGAGGGTTAAAAAATCGTATAAATTTTGAGTTCATGATTGTGTTATCCTCTAGATGAACTAAGCGAAATAGTTGTGGCTGTTTTTGTGTGAAATTTAAGGATAATAATTATATTTTGTAATATTACAATAAGCGGAAGAACGTATTGCATTAGTAACACATGCCACATGAACAAAGTAGGTAAGATCTATTCATGTAACACAAATAGTAATCAACTTTTGTTACAAAGTAGGTGTTTATGTATTATTTATTGTTTTAGAACAAGAAAATGGCTTTAAAACGTTAGAAAGAAGATTTGATATAGGAAGAAAAATTTTTGAATTCCCATTATTGAATTTGCACTCAAGATTTTTAAATAAGATACCAAAATAAAAACAAAAATGCAGTGTTACAAATAATCAAAAATTAAAAAATATTTGTCATGAATATAGATTTACAATAATTAATCGATAATAGACTGTAAGTGTACTATTTTTTTAATAAATTGGCGTAATTACATTGTGTTTATTTACAAGAACATGAGAGTGCAGTCGATATTTATGCAACCTTTATTATCAGGTTTTTAAATTTCCCGCTGCATTGTTTGATATCGATGAAAGCGCCACATAGTGGGTCAGATGTTAACTGCCATAAAGCTGGTCGTTGTTAAGCATTGGCTTCTTATGGGCGTTTCCTATCTTTATCTCCCTTATCTCTGATCAAAGTGAAACATTTCGAAGTGTACATGGCTCTAATTATTTCACCATAGCAACTGGTTTGTGTTTAAACCATCGAGATGAAATATAAGTAGAGACGATATAAACACTATTTTGTGATATGACAGATGGACGCACTTCAAGTGACGGAAAAGTGTAATGAAAATGGCGACTTGAGTCGTACTTTGATTTATTTAAAGTCAATAATTTTATATTTGAATACTAACGGAATGAAAATGATTTTATAGAATTTATATCAAGACATTTATTATCATCAAAACTGACTCCACTATTTTCGAGTTTGACATTGACGTAAAAATGTAAAGCAAAGGTGCGGACACTAGCATCATCATAGCATCTCCTCTTCATTCTATCTCAATGGTTTAAACGAAATAAATGTCTTATCATCAGGCCAACAAGCTAGCTGGTTAACCCATCTTTGACCGGGGATTCGTTTATATTTTTTTTATAGCATCTATATATGATATACTTATAACATGATCTAATTTTTTTCACAACAGTATCATCGAACTAAAAACATTAAACGTTTGATTTTTTTTATTCCTCTATAAAATGTTTGATCGAAATTTACATTGTTGGATAAGCAATTTTCAAATAAGCCCAACACATTTGTTTCTCTCTAGTTTTGGCAAATGACCGGCCATTTATAAATGGTTAAGTGACCTTACAAAATGACCAGTCATTTATGGTCACTTATGCAATCATTTTTATTCATGGACAAAATTTGATTTTAGAATATGTTTCATTATGAGCTCTTCAACGGTACCAAATACAGGGTGTCCCATTAGTGCGTAATTGTTCAATATTTCAATTTGTGTTATAGATACGCAAACATAGTTTCAAATAAAAGTGATATATTAAAAATATTTTTGCTTATACACAGTGTTGCGTTTTTGCCTTGCAAATAATGTATTATTTTTTTTTAAATTGAACCCTATAATTCATTTCAATTTTAGAATAATTTGGTAATACTGTCTTAACCTTTAACCTTTTTTTTTGAATAATACAGGGTTACCAAACAATTATTTTTTTTATGATGCAGATCCCAAATTAAATCATAATTTAAAAAAAACCAATGTTTTAAAAATTGTTTAAAATACAGATAAGATACTAAAGCTAATGAATAGTGAGTGGTGATAGAACTGGTTTATTTTATACAGAGTGTTTTGAATAAATTGCTAATTTTAAGTTTAATTTACTTAATTTTTTTCAAATGCAAACCCTGTATATTATTTTAGATACCAACATGTTAGTCTATAACACATATACAGGGTGTCCCATCAGTGCGTAATTGATCGATAGCTGTTTTATTATATACGAAAAAAATTAATACAAATTATTAATACAATTATTCTTAAATATACAGGGTGGTCCATAATCGAGGTGCTGACCAAACCTATATTTTTTTAAAGCAAAACACTGCATTTAATAATATAATAATAATAATACTCTCCCTAATTCGCCCCCTTACGAGTGAAATTTAACCCCAAAAGCTGAGCTTGTGCGGGGAAAGGGACGGCTATTATTATTATTATTATTTGCCGTAGCGCTCCGGGGCGACTTACAGATGATTGATGGTGCCATTTGACTTACAGGTGAGGAAAACCTTACCCACCATCATCGAGACGGTAATGCATGGCGATTTTATAATCTGCATTTACATTACATTAGTTTTTAAAAAATATAGTAAGAACCGTTTTCGAGATATCTTGAAATAAATGCATCGCTTGTTTTTTGGCATAGGCACTTCAAGAGTGTTAATTATGCACATTTTGATTGTTAATATTTCGTTTCACAGACGGTCAAAAAACTTTTAGTTACGTAACAGATACTTTCATTAACCTTATATTTAAATTTTATTGAACTCTTAAGAAAATTCGTTTTACGAATCACCTACCTTTATTTAAGAAGCATTTTAAACTACAATTAAGTTGTTTGTTTTAGTTTTTTATAATGCTCTTTTGACTCATTTATTTTAACCCTCTAAAGACGGATTTAGTTTTCCTAATCACGTGTGCTGGCCGGAATTGTTTTTTATACTTACACACATCTATATGCCTATTGTCGCTTTTATGTAACTCTTATTTTAAAACAATTTATATGTTTGGCAGTGTTGCCTGTTTTTCCCTAGGTTCAAACTTGGGTCGCTTATAAATGACATAAGGCTCTACGATTTGCTTTAGGAATGTCAATCACAAGCGACGTTCGGCCATAATACCGGGTGTCTCACTATATTTTTCCACATTTTGAGGACTTGTATATTCCGAGCCAATTAAGATATCCCGCCGCAGAAGTTTTATTAGGGCATACCGAAAATTAAATTGCAACTTCCCCTTAGAAAAAAAAAACAAAATAGCACCATTTTAAAGTTCATAATATTTTATTTAAACTAAACACCCTGTATATTAATACATTTTTGAGAAACCCTATTTTTTATATATATAACGGCGAGCTTAGTTTTAAATCTTTTTGAAAATGGCTACAAAATTTTTAATTTATTAGCTTCAAATTATAAAAGACAATATCTATTGTAGTAAATGTTCAATGTATTTCCCTTCTTCATATACACATTTATTAAAACGGACCAATACATTTTGAAATGCTCTTAATAATTTTTCAGGTGTCATAAAATTACTAATTGACAATTGTAAAACATAAACTGCTCAATATTTAATTAATTTCATTTAAGATTAAAATGTGCAAACATTTCGTTTCCATTTAATTTTGTACCATTTCCAAAAGATTTTGAAACTAATCACACCGATTTATAGAAAAAGGATGGCGTTTTTCAACAATGTAATAATATACAATTTAAATAAAATTAGAACATGAACTTTGAAATGGCGCTGTTTTGTATTTATCTAAGCGGAAGTTAATTGGTTCTGAAGATACAAGTCCTCAAAATGTGAAAAAATTTAGAGGAATAATATGCGCTAAGAAAATAAAATATTTTGATATGAATGTATCCTGATTATTTTCTACCTTTGTCGATTATACGCGACGTCGGCTATTTTAAGTGACTTGCAAATGTCGCGTATAGGAGACGTTCGTTATTAAAGACTTTACATCAGTGTCGGATTGGGCCGTCGGTCTACCGGTCAAAATACCGGTAGGCCCTCGTTCAAGCAGTGTGCCCTTGATCAAACAGCGGGCCCTTGAAGAAGAACAAACAAAGAAGTAAATGCAAGAAACCCCGTAATACGT